CTAACCCCACATTTTAAGAATTATTTTCACGTACTTATAAATAAAAGTAAACAATTTTATATGTAGGACTAAGCAAGTAAATGTTATAAGAATATTTACATGTGGAGTTATATATAAAAAAGTTAGTATTTTCGTAGATTTCAGTACCTAAAACCTTGATGGTTTGATCGTTTTTTGCACCTGTTTATTCGTTTTACTGCGGCGTCTTTGAAAATACCCAGATGGCATGACATAACATTCCTATTATTTGATAAGATTTAGATTATTCAGTTATTAAATGTTTGAAATTATTTGTCTTTGCGGAAAACACTATTTAAAGAATATGGGGCCCTTAACTGCTCTCATCCGCGCCATCTTGTAGTCATATGCTTAAACTGTAATTCTAATGGTTTAAACGTTTTCTGTGCCAGAAATTCAGTAAATTAGTATTTAAAGAAGCAGGAATCTATAAAGTTTTGTTCCTATGCATCCAAAAATTCAGGTTCTCTCCGTTTTACGGTAAAGGACGGTATGTATCACAAATAACTAGTACAATCCAAAGTCAGTTGCTGTTTTTCATTTAGAGATAATTCAACATTTTCTCTTTCATTTGGAATCTCTCAAACTCTGACTGAATTTACGGTACATGAGCAGGAATTTTTGATAGTTTCATTGAGGCTTTCGACTCAAGGGTTCACGATTTTAAAAATGAGATTAAAATTTCTAAAATGATTTATCTGGTTTAATAAAGTATACATATAGAAAAATAAATGATAAAAATTTATACCCGTTGATTGTAATTCCTATGCAGCTAGTCCATTAACCTTGTGCGGTATATACCTTCGGAATCTTCTTATAAAAAAATGCTTAAGTAGGTACTGCAATTTTTTTGTTAGCAAGCTTAACAAATTTTTGATAGCGCCATCCAATGCACTATTTCTTAAGTGAGGACCTTTTGAAAACATGTGAAAACTATAATGGATTCGCCAGTTTCTTTTCCCACTTTACATTACTTTTACAATATCCACATACACCAGGAAAATTAGCGAAAATAAAAGAGAAACTCGAAAAAAGTCCTATCCGCGATATTATTGTAAAATTGTCTAAAGGAACATAATACAAGACATCTCACATCTCGTGAATCAAAAAATTTTATTAGCTAACTTTTCTAATTAAACAAATAAGTGAGGAAAACAGTTTTTCCACTTTGCAGGGAAAACCATCAATTTTAGCGAAAAGTGACTCCCAGACAGCTTATAGGGAGAAAAATTATCTACAAAATGAGACTTGTTAAATTAAAATCGGTTATTAAACAAAAAAGTTATTGCAAAAAACAAGAAAAGTGCCCATTTTTTAATTTGTTTATAACTATCGCATTTATTGTTAAAATTTTACAAAACCTATGACACGTTGAGGGTTTCGTCATACTTTAAAAGTGTCCAAATGTGGGCGCTGTAGGTGAGATAGTTTTCGTACAATTCAATTTGTTTATAAAGGCTTTAAGCCTCTGTAGAGACGTTAATTTTCAACCAAACATGATTCTGAAAGAGTCATTGTAATCTTAAAGACGTAATTAAGCTACCTATTAAAAAATATCACCGTTTTTTTTATATTAACATTCTCAAATTGTGCTTTAAAAAATCGTGCGTTTTTCGCTTATAAACAATTTGAATAACATTGTTGCTATTTGTGCTAACTCACCGAAAATAGATGCAATGGATAGCTGGCAAAATAATACAAATTTAAAGAAAAAAGCACCCTCTACGAACAACAGGAGCCAAAATAAAAATTATTTTTTTTTAAATCGTAGCGCAATTGTTTATAAACATTAAGACTTGAATTTTTCGCAAAATAAAGTTTACGACGTAAACTACGATTTCCCGTGAATTGCATTGAAAAATGGGGAAAATTAACGACTCACGAGCCCTTTAAAGAGAAGGTACTCGCTAAGTAAACTGTCCGGCGGCTGGCGGCGTGGTGTTGGGGGAAGCTCGTCCAAGAGAGTCATGCGCACGAGAAAAGTGAAATCCAAAGTTCAAATTGATGCGCGCTGTAAATTTTGCAATATATCGACTTCTATTTTTTATTTAAACTGGGGTAGCTCGACGAAAAAATAACAATGGGCATATTTACGAATTCGTAGAATAGCCCTATGATACACGACACAGGAGAACTCCAAATATACAGATCAAAATTAAAATTTAGTAAATTTATTTGCAAACATAGCAATGATTGGTGATATATTAAAACTCTCGTTTATTATGGCCCTACTGTTAATACATACCAGAAATGAATTGTGGCAAAGAAAGGTAGCAGAAGCTAATGATGTTAAGCATATCCTTCCGACATTCTTAACAGTTAGAAGAAATTTCTTAAAAAGATGTCAAAAATGCACTGAAGCAAATGGCGGGCATTTAAAAATTAAATTTAAAACAAAAATTGTTTTTGCTAGTACATTTAGGTCTAAATGGTTATTTTTTTATTTTGTTATATTTAAATGTTGTCACATTTTTCTGTGTTTAGTTTCATATGTTTACATTTTCAGTTGTTATAAGAACTTCATTACTAACTGTAATAAATAACCTTTTGAATTAATAATTTATTGTAATTTATGTATTATTTTCAAATTTATTATGCGACTATTTTAAACAGTCTTTTCCATAAAATGGTGCACTTCAGGGACATGCAACAAGGATGCCTTTTTTAAAGCAAATCGAATGCTGTTTTAAAATAACTAATCATTTTCCAAAAATATCGATCCTTAAAAAAAGTCTGAAGGAAACAATGTAGCAGCAAACGGGCACAGAACGCCCTGTATATTTGTCGCAAAAAACAAGCAGATATTCGTGTTTAAATAATAAAACTTACTTGTCCTAAATTTTAGTAAAATTACCCAAATAATAAATAAAATATCTAAAAAAGTGGAATAAAAAAAACTACTTTCTCGGGCCTATAGCTTCTTAATGGTATAAGTTAATTTCAATCACCTTAATTTCATCCAAGGAAATATGGCCTATTCTTTAGTAAACACCCTGTATAGCCACTGTAGTTTTCCTTGTTAACTGAAAAAAACAGCGCCATCTCTTGATTATTTTTTTCACCAATATTGAATATAGACCTAAACTTGAATAAATAGAAATTTCAATTGTCTTCTTTGCCTTAGTTTCCTCTTAATTTTCATAAAATGCAATGACAAATAACAAAAGCTTATTTGTATTATTTTTTTTAAGAATACAAAAATAAAAGTCATTGTGGAATGCGCATTTTTATATGTTTATTTTAAAAAAATGCTTATCATTCAACAGGTAAAAGTTACAAGAGGACCAGCAATACTTGAAATTCTTTCCTACTACACACAGCGTTATCAGCACAAAAATCTTGAAAGTGAGCACTCCCGCGATGATTCTAATCGTTCGTTATTGACACAAACACTCTAGGTCTAGATAAAATTGTTTGACTGAATAAATAGTGGAGCGAATTCGAAAACTATCAATTCGGTCTTAGATCTAAAAGTTAAGGCAAAGATGAAGACTGTCGCTTGTCTAGCTGCCCTAGCCTTTGTATTGGCCTTTTGTGTAAGTACAACTTTATTTGTAACTTAGAAATAAAGTCGTTCTTTAAAAATAAGTATTTTCCAAAGAGAATTGGAATATATTAAGTTACAAATTGATAACGCAAAAAGTAATATTTCTACAAATTACTTCCTTGCCTACATTTATTTTATTATTCCTTTTAATATTTCTTATTTCGCTACAATTGTCGTAATTACAGACTGTAGTTTTCAAAATAAGTAGAAACGAATAATATCATATTTTTGTGGATTTGCATTTATTCCACTGTAAATAATAAAAAACAGATTAATAGAAAATTCTGTATAAAAATATTATTTACATTTGCGAAATATAATTATTTTCTAGACATTGTTGGTATAATTCAATGCTAATCGGGCATATAGCCCGCAGAGTAGTTATTTCCTGCTATATTATTCATTGGTGTATAATTTACATATAATTTTATTGTATGTATGTTAGGTATGTATTTCATTCATTGAAGTATACATGTTTCTGAATATTAAATATTCATGATAAATAATGTCGACTGTAATAATAAAAGAACAATAACACTTTTAGGCCAATGTACAAGGACACGCTATAGATGTCAGTAAAGTCAGGGAAAATAATAAAGGTCTGCTGGAAATCAACATACACATCAAACCTGACGAGTTAGTAGAACCAGAAGACCCTAGAGCTCCAGAAGACCCAGAACATCCAGAAGATCCTAGAGCACCAGAAGATCCCAGGGCTCCAGAAAACCCTGAACATCCAGAAGATCCTAGAGCACCAGAAGATCCCAAAGATCCTAGGGCTCCAGAAGATCCAGAACACCCTGATTATCCGAGAGCACCAGAAGACCCAGAAAATCCCAGGGCTCCTGAGGGTCCAGAACATCCTGAAGACCCCAGGGCCCTGGAAGACCCAGAAGATCCCAAGGCTCCTGAGGGTCCAGAACATCCTGAAAACCCCAGGGCTCCAGAAGACCCTGAACATCCAGAAGATCCTAGGGCTCCAGAAGACCATGAAGAACCATTAATACCAGCCGCTTACGAACCAGAACATCCAGAAGATCCTAGAGCTCCAGAAGATCCCGAACATCCTTAAGACCCCAGGGCTCCTGAAGATCCTGAACATCCAGAAGATCCCAGGGCTCCTGAAGATCCTGAACATCCTGAAGATCCCAGGGCTCCTGAGGGTCCAGAACATCCTGAAGACTCCAGGGCTCCGGAAGACCCTGAATATCCAGAAGATCCTAGGGCTACAGAAGACCCTGAACATACAGAAGATCCTAGAGCTCCAGAAGATCCCGATGAACCATTAATACCAGCCGCTTACGAACCAGAACATCCAAAAGATCCTAGAGCTCTAGAAGACCCCGAACATCCTGAAGACCCAAGAGCTCCTAAAGACCCAGAAGACCCCAGGGCACCAGAAGATCCTGAAGATCCTAGAGTTCCTGAAGATCCAGAAGATCTCAGGACTCCAGAAGATCCTAAACATCCTGAGGATCCCAAGGCTCCTGAAGATCCTGAACATCCAGAAGAACCCAGAGCTCCGGAAGATCCAGAGGACCCAAGGGCTCCAGAAGACCCCAGAGCTCCAGAACATCTAGATGTACCTCATGAAAATGAAATAGATATCGATATTATTATTAAAACTCACTCTGATACATTAGAAGAGCCCAGGGCTCCTGAAGGTCCAGAACAACCAGAAGATCCCAGGGCTCCTGAAGATCCAGAACATCCAGAAGACCCCAGAGTTCCAGAAGATCCAGAAGACCCAAGCCCTCCTGAAGATCCAGAAGATCCCAGGGCTCCAGAAGATCCCGAAGATCCCAGGGCTCCAGAAGACCCAGAGCATCCTGAAGACCCCAGAGCTCCCTAAGATCCAGAAGACCCCAGGGCCATTGAAAATCCTGAGCACCCAGAAGATCCCAGAGCTCCATAGAAGACCCTAAACCAAGACGGTTCTATATTCCCAAAGTTTCCACAAGAAACAGAAGCTCGCCAACTTTCTATGAATATACTTGAACATTATATGTTGGTAGATGTATTATATAAATATGAAATATAAGTACATATTTTTTTAATTATGATTTTCATTCATCCAATGATATTATCTTTCTGATAATTGAAATTTAAATCAAATTTGAATTAAATTAAGTACCTAATTTGTATTGAATATACCTAACGAAATTTATATTTTTAATGCAATGAAAAGACATGTATTAAAACATAAATTGATATAAATCAATTGATTGAAAGGTTTATTAACATTAATAATTACATTTGACAACTGTATGAGTTAGATTGTTTTTATTTAATTGGGTATCTCTGTCATCCTGAAAGAAAAATTTAAATAAATAATAATAAATAAATAATTACAGAAAATATCCTGACTGATTTGCAATTTTTTACTAATAATAGGTTTTATTCGCGAGAAATTGAATAAATTTTCTGGTTCACATTCTATTCCAGTGATTAACTTAGTAGCTTCATCAATAATTAATATAATTGTTGTTAATTAAATTCAATAACTACCACTAATTAGTAATTAGTCCATCTGTAATATCAAATCTGTATCTGTTTAGTAGGGATTCTTTTCATTTCGCAAATATACAAGGGTATGCAACCAGACTCTCTCGTCCAACACTAATCGGTGTGTGACGGCTTGCATAACCCGGGAAACCGAATAATCGAAAATGGTTTTTGTTTACAAACAGTTCCCCGATTTATTTAACGTTAAACGTCAATAATGTTAGATAATTAATAGTAAACAGGCGACCGTTTTCGGTTCAAGACCTCGTTTCCGGCCGGGACTGTTTACATAACGTTGTCATAAATTTAGAAAGTTGACAAGTGAATGTTTTTGTACCATAAAAATCAACATGGCGGAGGCGAAAAATAACTGCAGGCACTGAACCGAGGAGAGCCGTCTAAAGCACCCCAAATACATGGATCGAACAAGAAAAAAGTGATGTTTATCAACATATCTAGGATAACTTCAAGAAGAAGCCCTCGGTTGTACATAAGGTAAGCCGAAAAACGCTGGTAATCCACCTTTAATAGGACACTTTTTGACAGCACTTATTACTGTTAATTTCGCGACTATTTTAGATAGTAAAGAAACAAGTAGCCTCTGCCAAAATGGCAGACAGCCAAGCCCAGACAATTGAGTACCAATGGGCCTACTCGATCATGGACTCCAGCAGAGTGTCCACGTTCCTGATTTCGATGTTACTCATAGTCTACGGCTCCTTCAGGAGCCTCAACATGGAACAGGAGGCCCGGGAACGGGCCAACGGCACCACCAACTGCCTCTTGAATCCCTCACAGACTGTCCAGACGGAGAACAACGTGCAGACGTTGGACACGATGCAGGCGCTGTGCCTACCGTTGGGAGCGAGTATATCTTTGTTGGTTATGTTTTTCTTTTTCGATTCCATGCAGATGTTGTTCGCCATTTGCACAGCCAGTGAGTATAATCACAATTCTAACCTTTTTCCTTTGTTAAGAACGTAGCGACAAGATTGTAAAGCAAGATTGCCCTTGCATTAAAAAAAAAATAAGTGTGACTAAACGGTGATAATCAATCGGGATCAATTCAGGAGATTTAAGAAGTAATTTCGCAAAAAAGAACAATAAAAGTATTATTAATAAGTTTTACAGTGTGACCAGATTAAAAGGCACAATTGCCCTGACAAAAAAAAGAGTGCCAACTTAATTTGAAAACGACTAAAACGAAAGACATTAGGCTGAGCTGATAAGCAATAGGGATCGAGTCATGAGTTTTAAGAGGTCATTTCACAAACGTATATATTTATGAGTTATTTTACAAATATTTTTGTTGTTTCCATCATTCGTGTGAAGTATTTTTTAAATAATCTTCCATTCATTAGTGGTATCTTTGTTTGAAGATAAAAAACAAATTTAAATGCCGAGATAATACTATACATCTTGAAGATCGTAATAATGAATGTAATTAATTATAACTAGTATCATATTTGTATCTAGTTGTAGCTTTAGCTCGTGGCTAGATGTTATTTTGATAAATATAATTATCTATAATCTAAAAGAAAGTGATACAGATCGTGGAGTTTTAATATATTGATAAATATCATATTCTAGACAAGAAATTTGTAAAAATATGTCTTTAAAAATTATATTTGTCATTATTTGTCATACAGGGTGTAAATAAATAAGTGGGGAAATATTAAAGATATGATTCCTTGTTGAAAATTAAGGTGGGTCTTTCGTGTTTTCAAAAAGGGAAAAAATTAGTTTTTATTTTTTCCTTATACACCGCGTCTACCTATACTCCGCGGTCGAAATTATAGAGAGTGATTCAGACATAATATAAAAACACTATTACCATAATGCGTATAAAATATAAAATGGTTTTTATACGGTTCAATATTAGTTATCTTTGTGCCGCTCGTTACGCACATTGACAGAAACTATAATCGTCTATAGACTGAGTTACACTGAACGGCGATCTATATTCTATCTCTGTCTTTTGCACTTGGTAGGGAATAGGGAAATTCTTTTTTATTGGGTGTAAACGGACTTGATTTATCCGTCCTGAAAAACGTCATAGCATAAGCGTAGACGAGGGGTCTAATTCCATGGCTATAATAAACTTATAAATTAAAAAAACACAACTAGGACGTTTTAAAATGCTGTAATAATTAAAATGGATCAAAGTGCCGGTTATAGCAAACCGTAAAAAAATATCAGATGTTATGTTTTATTATCTTTTTTCAATATTTTCTATATCTTGTTGCCTTTACGCAGACACGCCAATGGATTTTCGTTCCCGGCACGCTTCATCGCCCTTACTAGTCCAAAAGCTAGCGATGAGTCACTTTCTATAATTTCGACCGCGGAGTATAGTGCGTGTAAGTCCAATATATAGGTTAATAAAAAATATAACTTAATTTTTTTTCTACAGAGTTGCCTACTTTCCCGAGCTGCATAAAATGAAAATATATTTGCATATACAGGATGTTCAATTTTTCCTGGGCAGGTACCAACTTAATTTTTTTAAATGGAAACCTATATTTTTTATGACATTATCGAATTCTACGTGAAAAATTAACGGGACTGTGTGTTATGATCCCTATTAAAATATTGATAGTTTTCCAGATAATCGACTTTTCATTTTTTTTCTTATGTTTCGTCACTTCTAGTAGTTGACATAATTATGATTGTATGACAGCTAGAAATTATTTTTTTTCAAGCACTGTAGAGTGAAGATGGCTCTTTCAAAAAACGTATCAAAAGTTGACTTGCGATATGCAGGGGGCAAAAAAATTTCGTGCCAAATCTGATAATTTAAAATTTGAAAGATCTCGACTTTTTCAAATAGAACAGTCCGTGTTTTATGATTTCATTAGATGCCTTTCTGTAGACCTTACAATTTTTTAGTTGCTTAGTTGTTGCAAAAAACCCATTTTTATGTAAAATACCGGATTTGCGCCCATTCCTTTATCGGGAAAATATTGTAAGCATATTTATTTTTATTAAATTTATTAGTTGTCTAGCTACACTATTTAGAATAAAAATTAATAACTGAAAAATTTAGATATTTGTGTTTAATAAAATTAGTCTTTATTATGGAAAGTTACCATTAATTTGTAAATAAAATCAAAAAACCATAAAATCGCTACAAGTGATTAAGAATTACCAAAATATGGGAAATGTTTGCTAGCAACACGTATTTACAAAGCAAATAATCCAAATTTACGGAGATGCCCACTGTTTTGAAAATGTGAAGGAAAGGCGAATTATGAGAAAACTGCCAGGAGGCATGAAAGTAACAACGATAATATTTAGTTTAAAGTTGTGGTGTCTGCTGTTGAAAATCCAAATATTAGTGCCAGGAAATTAGTAGTAACCTTGACAGAAAGCTTGACAAATAAAATATTGAAGAAGTTTCATCCGTATCATATTGAAAATCAAGCACTGTTACCGTACTTAGGAAAGTTATTAGTGAAATTGGAGATTAAAAAATTTGAATGAATAGAATTTTGAAAAGAGAATACTCATAGTCGCAAGCTAATTTAAAATAAATACCCTTTCAATATTTTTCCCGACAAAGGAACGGGTGCAATCCGGTATTTTACATAAAAATGGGTTTTTTGCAAAAACTACGCAACTTAGGTATAGGGAAAGCTATTTTAAAAATAAATTGTAGGGTCTACAAAAAGGCATCTAATGAAATCATAAAACACAGGCTGTTTGTATTTGAAAAAGTCGGGATTTTTCAAATTTTACAGGTTTGGCACGATTTTTTTTGCCCCCTGTATATCGCAGGTCAACTTTTGATACGTCTTTTGAAAGAGCCATCTTCACTCTACAGTTCCTGAAAAAAAATAATTTCTAACTGTCATACAATCATAATTATGTCAACTACTAGAAGTGACGAAACATAATAAAAAAAATTAAAAGTCGATTATCTCGAAAACTATCAATATAAGTTGATACCTGCCCAGGAAAAACTGAACATCCTGTATATAAATAAAATAAAGTAGGCAACTTTGTAGAAAAAAAAATTAAGTTATATCTTATATTCTTATATATATATAAGAATATCAAATGAAATAAATGTAAATGTTCAACTCCAGTAGAATAAATAATTCTAAAAATCCAATGAGTTTAAATCTGGAGAACATGGAGGTTTGATGATAGAACAACTACACTTCTCCCTATTGGGATATTGTTCATTTACCAACTGAAATTGAATACTTAGTGTTCTTTTCATCTGACATTATTATTCTGAAAGATCAAACGTTAAAATGAGTCATAATAGTTTCAAAAAATATTATTTTGCTGACAGTCTACTTCTTAATATACTACTTAGTTTTTTTTTGTTTATTTATATAAAAAAAAGAAAAAACGCCAAAGAG